TCAACTACAATTGTTGAATCATCTGTATAAAGAACTGTATGGTCTGCAGTTAAAAAATGTGTCAAATCATTGACATATAAAAGAAATATTAGGGGTCCCAATACGGAGCCTTGCGGTACACCTCGGTCAAGATTAAAAACAGATGACTTCTTATTATTGACTTTTACTAGGAATTTACGATGTTGTAAGTATGACCTTAACCAGTTCAAGAAATAACCCCGAAAACCAAGGGCTTCTCATTTATGCAGTATGATTTCAATGTCAGTAGAGTCAAAAGCCTTAGTTAAGTCAAAAAAGAGTGCACCCACATACCTTTTTCGATCCAAAGCAGCGTGGATATAATTAAATAATGAAATAGAAGCACTTTCTGTAGATTTATTAGGAAGAAACCCATGCTGTCATTTATTTAAGATATCATGTTTATTCAGAAAATTTAACATTTTGTTATAAATACACTTTTCGATAATCTTAGAGAGTACACTTGTTTGGCCTGTAATTATCAACCAAACATGGATCTCCCTTTTTGAAAATTGGACTGACTACTCCCGTTTTAAGGTCACTTGGAAACTTGCCATCCTTGACAGATAGGTTGATGATGTGAGACAAAACAGGAGATATATATGAAGAAATGTATTTAATTATTTTAGTGTGGATTTGATCAATACCTACTGAGCTGGTATAGTTTAAGAAAGATATAGCATTTTCAATATCAAGATATATACGAATGTATATGGTAAATTAAAAATTAACCGAATTATCCTTTTCTGAAAGACAAACACTCTTGCAACATTCACAGCGCTACCCCAAAGATTTATATTGAAGGCCAAGTGAGAATAAACAATTGCATAATAAACATTCAATAACTGTTCATTTTTAAGAAATCTTTTTAATTGCAGTATTGCGTAATAACTACTATTTATTCTTTTGCAAACAATTAATTTGAGATCCCCAGCTCATGTTATTATTAAGATACAAACCTAAAAGGTTTGGTGGAAGTTGTAGAATGAACCAGGCTATCGTTTACTTTTATAGAGAACTGGTAACTTGAATTTGATCTATAGTAGAATTGCATGTTTGTGCTTTTTTTAGTATTAACAATCAAAGCATTTTTTACACCACTCTGTAAAATCAGTTCAGTGGAACAGTTAATTTCTCAGCACACACATTTATTACAGTAATATCGGCTTCACATTAGCAGTTTGGCAAAACAAAATGGCTAAATAATGGAATAGTGCTCTTATTTGTCCGAACTACAAAAGATGTGACAACATGGAGTGTGAACACTACAGAAGTACAGCACTATTAACAGTAGTCTATAAAATACTTGCAAACATTATTAGGAAAATATTAATGAAATATCATAACAAAATGATCGAAGAATACCAGGGACTCCAGGGAAGGTTAAGACCAGCAAGAATAACTACTGATCAAATAATTATGTTAAAATTGATTCAAAACAATAACTGCTTACAATACTTATGATTATATAGGTTTTTTACTTTTTGAACCTTATTCTGGGGTGTCACATAAAAGTAATTATGCAAAAGTATATTATAAGAATATTTTTTTGAAAGAACCCGAACTTTGCGCCTTGCCTATAATTATTTTTACTTAATCGTTATATAATAAAAGGATAAAAAAATATCGACTCACTGAATAAATTATACGAAAGCTAAACACATACAATTTCTTTTATTGTTTTATATCTCCTTTCCAAAAAAGAACCTTTAAATAAAACCTCAGAGCAACATACAAGATATATACGAAGTGCCATCAATTTCTCAGTTCATTGAAGGTATTGGTGGAGTCAAAAGTTAATCTTCCACCTAATCTAATTCCGAAAGAAAGACAAATGGTACAGAGCTTGAAGGTAATGTTTTAAGGTCCGGAGAAAAATTCTAAAACTAGATAATGTTTGTCCTTTGGCAGTGGATCGGTTTCAGATGTTCATTCATGTCAATAGTAGCGATATAATCTGTTGTGGTATTTGGGATTGGTTTCATGGGTCGGCTGAAGACAGTGGTGTGGCCAACAGCTTAATCAGAATAATATGCATTTGGAATTTCATTCATAAGTTCTGCATGCACAGTAGTGTTCTCTGAAATACAGAAAATTCTTGGTATGTCAAAATTATGTGACGAATAAATCTGTTGTTTCCTTTATTAAAGAAAAATGAGTTGTCTTACATTTACATTTGTTTAAATAGCATTTAAAATAAGTTTTCCTGATAATAGATAATCATATGTATATATGGAAATGTTACACTGATAGATGACAAACGTAAAATATAAAGGCCAATAGTGAAAAGATTTAGAACTTCTAGTTATCCAAAATGATTTAATGCCAATTTAATTACGTTATTTAGTATATTACTCATAAAAATTATTTGGCTTCATGTAATCAAGAGGATCATGTGATTTTCTTACAACACAGAAGATTGTGTAAAGTTTCTCAAATCAATTTTACATCACTTACCTGAATAAAGTAAACCATTATTTATGAAGTAATCCTAAGTACTTTTCTCAGTTTGTAAATAGTAAGAAAGCATCAAATGATTTACCAGATATTACGTATTAAGGCTTATCTTCGAAAATCCCAATGGTTAAATTCAGTGGGATATCTATTTCATATATATCAAAATATCTTTCTTTACGAAAACAAAATCCATTCACGAACAATATTCTAAACGTCATATTGTACTAAAGTTAAGCTATATACCAACTTACAACCGGGACATCCACCCTCTGTGGTGAAAAGTCTTGGGTCTATACAATAAAGCGAGCGGGCGGTCTTCTATTCAGTGTGGTTATGGGGTAATTAGAATAATACGAGTATACCAGAAATATTATTCTGGTATACTCGTATTAATTATATTTATTAAATAATTAATTCACAACTTGGCAAAGGTACATACAGGTACGTATAACAAGATATTTAGAGGTCACAGGATTGCTGAATTCGTTTTTTATGTCTTATATTTTCTTTTGTTTTTTTTTTGTTTTTTTTTACTGACAAATTGGCTTTTAACGTAGATTACAGTTTTATGATAATTATTCTGAAATGGAAATGTTAAAATACGATAAAAAACGAAAATTAAAGTACTTTAAATATATTATGAGAACTATCTGGATGGTTTATTTTAGTTATTTATTGCCAGGAAATTTTTGGTAAGACGTGTTCAGGAAGACGACGCATTTCCGGGCTCCATAACCTAAGAAACTTCATGCCTTGTTCCAGCAGCTGCGAATAAAGTTGAACTTGCAATAATAAACATCAATATCAAGAAATGAGAGGCTCTATTAAAAAAAGATAAATACTTACTATAATATATTAAGAGGGTAGGCGCAAAATTTCGGGCCAATGCTTTTTAAATGCATTCATTTTTTTCGAATCCTGAGAAAACTAATAAGTATTTTTGAAAAATTTAAACGCAGAATGAAAAATTAGATTATTACCGAGGGCCGAAAGTCCCTTAGAATAAACAAAAAGTTTCTTTTGAATGAAATATTTAAAATCTTAAATTTCTCTTCTTTTTCACCCCTGTAACTTACTAAAATAAACATTATAAAAGTTTTCAGGGACTTTCGACCCTCGGTAACAATGTAATCTTTCGTTATGCGTTTAAATTTTTCAAAAATGCTTATTAGTTTTCTCAGAATTAAAAAAAAATAAATGCATTTAAAAATTATTGGCCCCAAATTTTGCGCCTACGCACTTAAGAAAGAATGAATTTTAGTAATTGTTCAATCACAAATTAATCCCTTAATTTTTAATCTTACTTTATTCTTAACTTCTTAATATTTTATATTTTACTGTATATAATTGAAACATTGTGTAAATATATCGTATAATATTTTAATAATTACCTACATCTTAATAAATCGCCGAATAATATATATTCTATGTAAGCAAATAATTTAAAGCATGGTATGATAGAAAGCAATAACCTCTGTGCTGAGTTATACATTATTTGTGAGATTATAAATTGGGGATTTGAGGTCATTTGAGGGCAATCTGTTATAGATAGTTACCTAACCAACATCTATAGTGTAATTATTAGTAGTTGTCAACAAAATCAACATGTTTACTTCACAACTTCAACGTTTTATTGTATTTATCAACGTCGATCAAGAATAAACGGACATAGGGGTATTATAAAACAATTCAATCCTTATAACTAACTCGAATCTGTCCAGAGAATATTTTTCCTGGAAAACTAAAATACTGTGAAATTATTCATTTTTGTAGTAAAAATTAAAATCGATAGGTATTTGTATAAAATTTTTGCTCAAAACATTTCCGTTATTCTCTAGTAGGGCACCAGATTAGAAATATTTTAGTTACACCACTGTCGATTTTCTTATCGACTGTTCGAAATAAATACAACTTTATATATTTGTGCGGTTAGATGTCCGCAGAGGACATTCTTCTCCTGATGATATCTTTAATTATTTTACTCCGGTTTCTAGGAACACATAAAACTTGAAATTTTTCGGTTTATTTGAATGTTTTGCTTCCATATCACCACCTAATATCAAAGTTCTTGTGTAAGCTAATAAAAATTTGGTCAGACTTAATTTACTTCAAATTTTATGACAAAGAAGCGCTTTTACTGGTTTAAAGTTTATTTTATGTTTTAAATACTGATTAATTATGTCATTTATTTATATTATATATGAAGCGTGCATTTCCATAACGTAGTAAGTGCCAAATTATAAATTTTTCAGGAGGAGTAAAAAACAGTTTTTAATCGAACATGTTTATTTCTTATAATGTAACATACTGAAAAAGGATTAGTTTAAAGGTATTATATAATACAAACATACCGCAAAGGAACAATAAACAAAGCTTACTTAAAAAAATTAAAAAATCTGTCTAAGGTCAAAACGTTGTAAGTGCCATCAGGTTTGCAAGTCAAAACGTTTTAAGTGCCAGATTTTTAACCGTTGTTTCCTACAGTAGAAACTTGCCCTGGTTGACCTAATTTTTCTTAAAAATACTTCTTGGCATCATCGAGAAGATAATGGAGCATTTTTTCAATATCTGTTCTTTTTTTCTCTGGGATACCAAAGTGAGTTCTAGTTTTTTGAAGGTCTATGATTTTAAAGTCTTTTAATGTAACTCCAGATTTGAGTACATTGGTCTCACTCCATCCAGCTAGCTCACTATGTCCTTTAGCCACCATCACCGTACCAAATTTCTCTCTTGTAAGACGAAGCTGCGTAGTTGTTGAAATTCCTAATTTCTTTGTGTTCAGTTTCACAGGCAACGGTTTTGAAATCATAAAAGTCCTTAACCACCATGCACGAGAATGGATTTTTCTGGGCCGCATCAGTAATGATGTTAACAACATTCATCAATGTATAAGCCTTACACACTTTTTTACGTTTTCCTATGATTGCGAAATCTCTGTCGCAATTAAGGAAAGTGTGTCCTTTTACAGGAAATTTATGAATAATTTCCTCAAAAACGTTATTTGCTAGTATGGTCAAATACATGGCGATCATGAACTGATTTTTATTTTGACCCCCACAATTATCCGACCACAAAATAAGCTTTTTCTTTCCGTGATTGCCAATTTCCTTAGTAAGGTAAGTATATAAACAGGAGCTAATTTCCAAGGCACTCCTTCCCCCAAAGTCCTCAGTCCATAAACACATGAATCCCTTTCCTGTGATGGAATCGTGAATTCCTAAGTTATACACTGCAAGCTGTTGTGAATAGTACATTTCGGAGTGAGTTAATTATGGAATGTACATTTGCTGCTGCATATCGAAGGAAAGAACATAGCAATTACTTGTACATGCATTTTTGGTCTCAGTTGACATTGCTTTTGTAGCAGCCTCTGCTCTCCGATGGTGAAGCTCCTGTTCTGTTACAGCAGCTTTATCTCCTGATTTTATTTGAAAATCCAAACTATCACATGTGGAGCATGTATCTACTTTAGGCCTTGCAAAAGATAAGTTAAATTTTGATATAAAAGTTTCATTATACCATTGTCTAGTCACTGATGGTTTGTTAGGCGGCTGATAATCCGAACAATATTTCTCTAAAAATGCACGGTACATTCTACTTACGTTCAAATCCGGTGACAAGAAGAGCTTATCCGGGGTTTTCGCCCTTGCGTAGTGGCTCTCAATTTTTGGAAAACTTTCGATATGCTCTATAATCTTGTTAGTCCAGACAGTCTTGAAAATATTTTGTCGAGCCCCTCCTCGTTTTTCTGACATATCCATTTTACCATCAAGAATTTTTTCTCCCAAAAGTTACACTCTTCTTGGAGTTACGGCAAACGTACTACAAAATGTTTTGAGGCAAACCCTTATTTCAGATCCTCCAGGCAAAAGTAAATGGTAGGTGAAAGAGTGCTTTCTCCTACTTTCACTGGTATGTTTGTACTATTAATGACGTCTCCTTTTGATTAATTGGGGATGAATAAACCTTTGTAGGTAACTTTGCTGCTTACTATAATCAGCCATTTCATAGAAATGATTGTACAACTCAACAAGTCAACCAGTCTTATGGATCTACATGCTAGTGGACACTAGCATTTTACCTAAAACAATTTTGGATTATTTAGATAGATTTGAACAAAAAAAAAATTATTTATGTTTTAACGTTTATTTAGATAGGTATCTCCTTAAACCATACTTACATCAGCTGGTAGCATTTTCTTTGTAACGGTCTTTTTATTGACTAGAGAAACATATTCTTTGCCAGAGTTTCTCATTTTCTTGGTTTTATTTTTTTTTCAACTATCAATAACTCTTCTTTTCTTTTTGGACCGTTTTTCTGTAGTTTCATCCATATTCGTTCCAAATACTTATGTTTATACCCAACCCAACACGTCCAAACAAAAATAATTTAGTAACTGATGCGCCACTCTACATTTAACAGCATTGCACTACGATACTTACAACGTTATGACTTGCACCGCTACTTTATCCCCACTTTTCACGCCGTCGCTAGCCATATCGACATGAAATAAATTTTAGGCGATGGAACATGGCACTTGCAACTCATTTAACTTAAAAAAACCAAATGAGGCATATTGGCACTTACAACGTTATGGAAATGCACGCTTCATATACAGATTTAAAGGCTTTGCATCATGTCTCACAAAATTTGCCCTTTTTAACTGATATTTCTATATATTACTAGACTAAAGCAAATATGCAAATAAAAAAGTGTGAAATATGCAGTATTTTATGCAAAAATATGCAGTATTTTTGGAGCACACTATGGGATACTCAAAGATGATAATGGTAAACTCATTACAGACATCAAAGACAAACTAAGATTTTGGCAAGAATACATAAATTATTCGACGATGATAGAATGATACAAGAAGAACCACAGGAACAAACAGGACCGAAAATAATAATGTACGAATTAGAACAGGCAATTAAAAATGCAAAGACCACAAAATCAGTAGGCCCAGATCAGATACCCACTGAGCTAATTAAATGCATTGACGAAGAAACACTGCATATACTTTTAGATCTGTTCAACAAAGTTTATACAACAGGAGTAATACCCCAAGATTGGTTGCTGCCCACGTTTGTAACACTACCAAAATCAGTACATACGTCAGAATGCTCTCAGTACAGAACAATTTACTTAATAAGCTACACACTTAAGATATTTCTCAAAATTATACATGGAAGACTACACAAACAAATAGAAGAAGATATAGATGACACCCAGTTTGGATTCAGAGGAGGACTAGGAACGAGAGAGGCTCTATTCGCTTTTAACGTTCTTGCGCAAAGACGACTAGATATAAACCAGGATCTCTATGTCTGCTTTATAGATTATCAAATGGCTTTTGATAAAGTACCACATCAGAAACTCGTAAAAATGTTAAAAGAAAAACATGTAGATAGTCGAGATATACGGGTTATTGTCAATCTGTACTGGAATCAAAAAGCAAAGGTTAGAATAATTCGAGTATATTTATGAATGTCCTCGATTGAAATTATTAAACATATTTTATATAAACAAAATGCGAAACTAAGTTACATGTTTTTCGTTTTAACTTATTCTTTATATGAATTATAATATTTTAGGAATAATACTACACAGGTCTAAGTTTCTTCAAAATTGTATCACTCTAGGCTTATTAATAAAAAAGTTCTAATTAAAAAAATTTGAATTCATATTACTTAAAAAGTTGTTTATGTTACATATCCTTTATGCATTTGTTTGCATTTATTTTACGTTTTAAATGAGAGTTGAGACACGGCATCAATACTCAATCAGAGAAGGTAACAAAGTTACAAACAGCTTTTTGAGAATTCAACTAAATTAGTTAAACTAAACTCAAAGTAAACTAGCCCAAATTAGATGTAATGAAGTTATTCTGCTAGAAATAAAACAACGAATTTTCATGGTAATTGGCATTTGCTATAAATTCGACATCCCGCAAGGACAACCTACAGTATTGTGCGAATTAATGGAATCACTGTAAATTTTTTTTCATTTTTTCAATATTGACACTTGGCAACACTACCTACACAGTTGACAGCTGACCAAGCATTGAAAACATAACCTTACTGTGTGTTGGTGTGTTTAAGTGTGTTTTAGGTCATTTGTTACCAAGATTGTGTTGTTTTGGGGGTTTTTGTACTATTTTGTGTTGTTTTTGGTTTTATTCCAACATGGATATTACGCCTAGGAAGCGTGAAAAGATTGTCACGTTAAGTGAACACACTAGTATGTTACAAAGAGAGATTTCTAGAACGTGTGGAGTGAGTCAGGGGGTAGTAAGCAAAATTTTGAAGCGTAAACGAGAAACGGGATCAGTGGATGTGAAAAGGTTAGGAAAATGTGGAAGAAAGAGAAAAACAACACCAGCAGATGATAGATTTTTACTTCGAAAGAGCAAATTGGACCCAAGAAAATCAAGCCAAGACCTACAACAAGATCTAGTAGCATCAGCTATAGTGATTCATGACTCAACTGTTCGTAGAAGACTTTTGGAGAATGGTAGAAGGGCAATTCGTCCACAGAAAAAACAGCTTCTAACTGAACGAATGAAGAAACAAAAGCTACTGTGGGCCAAAAAATACTCTAATTGGACTGTAGGCGACTGTAAAAAAGTCCTATTTACAGATGAAACCCACTTTATAGTTCAGGGACAGCAGTCGAAATTCGTCAGGAAGTCTGACAATGAAAAGCTTACACCATCTCATATTGATCAAACCGTAAAACATCCAGTCAAGAAAATATTTTGCGGATGTTTTTCATACATGGGGGTGGATCTTTGGTGCCAATTGAAGGCATGATGAACAGCCAAAAATACAAATCCATGTTGGAAAAGTATTTGGACAAACAACTCCAAAAATGTCAACCCCAAGGAGGAGCGATTCTTCAACAGGACTCTGCTCCCTGTCACAAATCAAAGAAAATGAGCATTTTTCAAAAATAAGAAGATTATTGTTTTAGATTGGCCCGATAATTCGCCTAATCTCAACCCCATTGAAAATTTGTGGGCCATTTGCAAAGCTAGACTGCGAAAAATCGACTGTACCACTAAAACAAAAATGATAGAAGCGGCCATTCAGTTTTGGTATCGAGATGAAGGGACAACTGCCAGAAACTCATAGAATCTATGCCAAAACGGGTAAAAGCAGTAATTGCTGCCAAAGGAGGACATATTTCCTACTGAATGATGTAAGTTTACCTTTATAGTTTTGTCAAAATATAATTTTTTACTAAATAAACTGTTTTTTCATTAGAACAGCCTATGATTCCATTAATTCGCACAATACTGTATCAGAACAATATTAACAAATTTCTTTTCTGGGAAGGAAATAGGTTTTATAAAAGTTTCTCTGTACATAAAAGTCATACAAGATTCCAAATGATACTCATCTTTATAATATATCGCTACTTAAAATTAAAGACGAACGCAATAACTCTTTTTTATTTATTACAGCGGTAAATCGCGACGGGAAACAATGACCAAATCCTTCCTTCCACGATTAACTTCCTCACAATAATCCTCGAAAAGATCGTTCTGTTTCTTTAAATTTAAATATGCAAATAATCCGATCCGGATTTAGCAGCTTAAAAATATAACAGAAATGCAAATAATTAGAAGCTAATTACACAACCGCTAGAATCTCCTTCCGCTAGTCTATACCTCGACGAGTAAGTTATGCGGATACAATCAACTGCACAAGGCGATTTAAAATAAAACACAAAAATTAATCAAACAAATCTCCAAAAACTGTCTCGGTGTCACAGTGGTTCTTCTTTTTATGGTGCCTATTCGTTACG